ATTCCATGTATGAGTGAAATCATGTGGTATTTCTTTCTCTGACTTATTTTGCTTAGCGTAGTACAAACTAGCTTCATCCACATCATTGCAAATGGCAAGATTTCATTCTTTTTGATGGCTGAGTAAAAATCCGTTTTATACATATACCACAACTTCTTTATCTGTTTATTAGTCTATGGACACTTGGGCTCTTTCCATTATTTGGCTATTGTTAATAATGCTGCTATAAACATTGGGGGTCCAGGTGCCCCCTTTGAACCTGTATTTTTATATCCTTTGGGTAAATACCTAGTAGTGCAGTTGATGGATTATAGGGGAGTTCTATTTTTAACTTTTTGAGGAATCTTCATACTGTTTTCCAGAGTGGCTGCACCAGTTTGCATTCCCACCAACAATGTAAGAAGGTTCCCCTTTCTCCACATTCTCACCAACACTTGTTGATTCCTGTGTTGTTAACTTCAGCCGTTCTGACAGGTGTGAGGTCATATCTCATCATGATTTTGATTTGCATTTCCCTGATAATGAGTAATATTGAGCATCTTTTCATGTCTGTTAGTGGCCATTTGGATGGCATCTTTCAAAAAGTGTTTTTTATCATATCTTCTGCCTATTTCTTAACTGGATTATTTGGTTTCTGGGCATTGAGTTTGATAAGTTCTTTAGAGATTTTGGATACTAACCCTTTATCAAATAATCATTTGCAGATATCTTCTCCCATTCCATAGGCCACCTTTTAGTTTTGATGACTGTTTCCTTCCCTGTGGAGAAGTTTTTTATCTTGATGAAGTCCCAGTACATTTTTGCTTTTGTTTCTATTGCCTCCAGGGATGTGTCTAGTAAGAAGTTCCTCAGCTGAAATCAAAGAGATTGCTGTCTGTGTTCTCCTCTAGGATTTTGATGATTTCCTGTCTCATATTTAGGCCTTTAATCATTTTGAATTTATTTTTGTATGGTGTAAGAAAGTGTTCCAGTTTCATTCTTCTGCATGTGGCTGTCCAGTTTTCCCAACACCAGTTGTTGAAGAGATGGTCTTATTTCCATAGGATATTCTTTCCTGCTTTGTCAAAGATTTGTTGACCATATAGTGTTGGGCCCATTTCTGTTCTGTCCCATTAATCTGTGTGTCTGTTTTTGTGCCAGTACTATATTGTCTTGCTGACTACAGCTTTGTAATATAGCTTGATGCCTGGAATTGTGATGCCTCTAACTTTGCTTTTCTTTTTCAGGATTACTTTAGCTATTCAGGCTTTGTGTTTCTATACAGATTTTAGGATTATTTGTTCTAGTTCTGAAAAACTGTTGGTATTTTGATGGGGATTGCATTAGATGTGTGGGTTGCTTTGGGTAGTATAGACATTTTAACAGTGTTTGTTTTTCCAATTCATGAGCATGGAATTTTTTCCCGTTTCTTTGTGTCTTCTTCAGTTTCTTTTGTAAGTGTTCTATAGTTTTCGGAGTATAAGTCTTTTACCTCTTTGGTTAGGTTTATACTTAGGACTTTTTTTGATACTATTGTAAATGGGATTGATTCCTTTATTTCTCTTTATGCTGCTTCGTTATTTGTATATAGAAATGCAACAGATTTATGTACATTGATTTTATATCCTGCGACTTTGCTGAATTCATGTATTAGTTCTAACAATTTTTTGATGGAGTCTTTCAGTTTTTCTACAGTGTATCATGTTGTCTGCAAATAGTGAAAGTTTGACTTCTTCCTTGGCGATTTAGAAGCCTTGTATTCCTTTTTGTTGTCTGATTGCTAAGCCTAAGATTTCCAGTGTTGTGTTAAATAGTAAAGGTGAATGTGGACATCCCTGTCTTGTTTCTGACTGTGGAAGAAAATTCATCAGTTTATTCCTACTGAGAGTAATATTAGCTGTGGATCTTTCTTATATGGCTTTTATGTGGTTGAGGTATATTCCATCTATACCTACTTTGTTGAGGGTTTTTATCAAGAATGGATGCTATATTTTTGTCATGCTTTTTCTGCATCTTTTCCGAGAATCATAAGGTTCTTGTTCTCTCTTTTATGATTTGCAAATAATGAACCACTCCTGCAGCCCAGGAATAAATCTTACTTGATTGTGGTGAATAATTTGTTAAATGTACTGTTAGGTTTGATTTTTCTAGTATCTTGAGAATCCATGTTCATGAGGGATATTAACCTGTAATTTTCCTTTTTAGTGGGGTCTTTGGTTTTGGACTCAAGGTAATGCTGGCTTTGTAGAATGAGTTTAGAAGTTTTCCTTCTATTTCTATTTTTTGGAACAGTTTGAGAAGAAAGGTATTAAATTGTCTTTAAATGTCTGGTAGAGGGCCGCCTGTGTGGCTCAGCGGTTGAGCATCTGCCTTCAGCTCAGGGTGTGTCATGGTCCGGGAGTACCGGGATCGAGTCCCACAACGGGCTCCACTTGAGGAGCCTGCTTCTCCCTCTGCCTGTGTCTCTGCCTCTTTCTCTGTGTCTCTCATGAACAAATAAATAAAATCTTTAAAAAAAAATAATGTGAAATTCCCTGGGGAAGCCACCCTGGGACTTTTGTTTGTTGGGAAATTTTTTATTATTGATTCAATTTCTTTGCTGGCTATGGGTTTGTTCAAATTTTCTGTTTTTTTCTGTATTAGTTTTTATGTTTCAGGGAATTTGTCCATTTCTTCCAGATTGCCCAGTATGTTGGCATATAATCTTTCATAATATTTTCTTAAAATTGTATTTCTATGGTGTTGGTTGAGCTCTCTCCTTTCATTCATGATTTTATTTGGGTCCTTTCTCTTCTCTTTTTGATAAGCCTGGCTAGGGGGTTATCAATTTATTAATTCTCTCAAAGAACCAGTTCTTAAGTTTTGTTGATCTGTTCTACTATTTTTATTGTTGTTTCTATATCATTTATTTCTGCTCAGATCTTTATCATTTCCCTTTGCCTACCAACTTTAAGCTTTATTTGCTGTTCCTTTTCTAGCTTCACAAGGTGTAACGTTAGGTTATGTATTTGAGACTTTCTTGGTTCTTGAGGTAGGCTTGTATTGCAATAGACTTCCCTCTTGGGGACTGCCTTTGCTGCATCCCAAAGGTTTGGACTGTCATATTTTCATCTTCTTTCATGTATTTTATTATTTTTCTTTAATTTGCTGGTTAATCCATTCATTCTTTATTAGGATGTTCTTTAATCTCCATGTATCTATGGTCTTGACCAAATTTTCTCGTGATTGACTTCCAAGTTTCATAGCATTGTGGTCTGAAAATATGAATGGTATGATCTCAGTTTTTTTGTGCTTGTTGAGGGCTGATTTATGACCCAGTATGTGGTCTGTTCTGGAGAATGTTCCCTGTGCACTCAAGAAGAATGTGTATTCTGTTGCTTTACCATGAAATGTTCTGAATGTATCTGTCCCAGTGTGTTTCAAAGCCTTTGTTTCCTTTTCAATTTTCAACTTAGGTGATCTGTCCATTACTGTAAGTGGGGTGTTAAAATCCCTACTATTACTGTATTATTATCAGTGAATTTCCTTATATTTGTTAATGATATATTGATACATTTGGGTGCTCCCAAGTTGGGGGCATAAATATTTATAATAGTTAAATCTTCTTGATGGATAGACTCCTTAATTATTATGATATTCTTTTTCATCTCTTGTTATAGTCTTATGTTTGTAATCTAGTTTGTCTGATATAAGTATGGCTACTCTCCTTTCTTTTGATGTGGTAGGATATTTTTCTATGTTTTTAAATGAACAGTTTTTATTTGGGAGCATCTTTGTATTTTACATTAAGTATGGCAAAAGTTATGCATAAATTTTAAAAAATACTCAGCAGCAACAAATATTTACACACTATAAGGCTTCATAATATAGACAGGTATATAGTAATCTTATTTTGACAGTCTGACATTTGGCTCTCCTACCTCATCCCACTCTCCAGCAGCCCCTCTGTGACTGTTTTACTTTCACCTGTTAATGTAGGTAGTTAAATTCATGGGTATCCTATTTATTGAACCAATTCTTAACAGTCCTATAATGAATCTGAATTGATCTGGTTTATTTGAATATCTTGAGAGATTCTCTTTGCCAGTGGATATATTTTAGGATTTTAGTATCAATATTCATATGAGAGATAAGCCTTTAATTTCCTTTCTTATGTTTTCTTTGTCAGATTTTATATTGCATTTGGCTGCCCTCATAGGGCTTGGTTTGTTAGGGAATTAAAATTAATGGAGTAATTATAAATACATAGTTATGAATCATGACAAGTACTGTAAAAGAAAGGAACAGTGCTTTGAGAGAAATATCATTGAAGATCTTGAGATTATACTTTTTAGGTGTTTGAGGACATGCCTATTGAGTATATATGCACTAAAAGATAATTCTTTTTAAATGAAATACTTACTGAAGATTTAATATGTACTTAGGTCTGTGATAAATAAGTAAAATGAAGTCTTCATAATTATAAAGGTTGAAAAATACTGGTAATAGTAGCTACCAAAGTTAGAGGCTATATTCCACATTTTTTAAATGAAGAAATTAAGACTTAGGTTTATAGATAGACACTTCTAGTTTAGTATCCAATTGTACACACTCTCTGGAAATCCCACTGAAGTTGTAGTAAAAGAATAAAGATCTAAATCAACAAAAGGAGAATGGGAAAGTTAGTTGCCAGGTGAAGTCACCTTTGAGGAAACTAGAAAGAAGATGGTTCAGTGATAAGTGACTATAGATTAGAGGACGCTAAAGGCTGAAGAGCGGTAAGCCGACAAGAAGTAAGCTGCTTCCACCAGGCAGTCTGGCAGCAGCTGGGGATTTGGAAGTACAAAGTACTTCTCAAGGCAAGATTATAGGATGGAGTGGAAATGGAATGATTAAGTGATAATTTTTTGTAGTTTTGATGCTCCAAATTCCCTTCTCTACTGCTTGCATCCAGACAACTGCCTAACCGTCTTCTACCAGATGGAGGACTGAAAGTTTACCTGCAGGAGACGATTGTACTCAGGGGGCAAGCTGACTGCTGAGGTGTGGCAAAGCACCTAAACAAAAATGAGGATGAAGTCGAAGTCAACATACCGAACAGTGAAGCCAGAGCTGTCTTTCTATTAGCAATAATCGCGCCTTGGATAACCTCATTGGCTACGATACTGCCACTTTACAAAGCTCAGAGCTGGCTTTCTGTAGGACTCTCAGAACTCATAGTCAAGCTTATACTCCCCTAAACAAGATGTTAAAGGATTCTTTTCTGGGGACACATCAACCCATGGCAAAATATTCAACAGATACGGACTTCGGGAGTTTGCCTTGTCAAACCGCTGCATCGCCATCAGATCATGTGAGAGAGGGCTGCTGGTTGAGAGGCACCATTCATGCATCAGACTTTGCATTGGCTTTAAATGCCTCACATGTCAGCATAAATGGACAGCCAGGGATAACCAGTCATTTGGTAGAAGTCTCTAACATAAAAGAAACCAAATAGGGGTAAACAAGTATGAAATCAAAGAAGCTTGGTGTAAATAGATTTACTGCAGGTAATAGAAGAAACTTAAACCAAATAATACTATTGTACCTTTAGAAAGAAAAGAAATGTCCGTGAAAGAAGAGGTTCTGTTTTTTAAAAAAGAGAAATTATTCAGAAAATAGAAAAGATCTCTGGGAGAGCAGGAAAAAATACATAAGGATTGAATAATAAAGCTGAAGAACTCTCCCCTAAAATAAAATAGCCATGAGAATTAGAAAATAAGAGTAAATAAGAAAAGTAGAGGATCAATCAAAGAAGTCTTTTGTCTTATGCAGTGGGGGGAAACCATCATTTAAGTCCCAGAATTGGAAGAGGTGAGCTTCTGAGTTGAACAGGTCTTCTCTCTGGTGCCTTGAAGAAGAAAACACGCACTGTTGGTGAGAATGTAAAATGGTGCAGTCACTTTGGAAAACAGTCTGGCAGTTCTCCAAATGGTTAAACGTAGATTGACTATATCATCCAGCCATTCTTGTAGGAGTATATTCAGGAGAATTGAAAAAAATGTCCACACAAAAACTTATACGTGAACGTTTATAGCAGCATTATATACATAATAGCCAGTGAAAATAGCCCAAATGTTCATCAGTTGATGATTGGATAAAAGAAAATGTGATATATCTGTAAAATATCATTTGGCCCTAAATGAGCCAGTGAGACAAAATGTGAGCGAAGTACCTGCTACCATATGGATGAACCTTGAAAACATAATGCATGAAAGAAGCCAGACAGAAAAGGATGACTTATTGTTAGGATTCCATTTCTATAAGATGGCCCAGTATAGGCAAATCTGTAGAGATGGAAAGTAAATTAGTGGTTGTCTAGGCACGGGGATAGGGCATAGTGAAGGGTGAGGATGGTGGCTAAGGGATACAGGGTTTCTTTTTGGGGTGATGAAATGGTCTACAATTGATAATAGTGATGGTTGCACAGGCCTGAAGAAACTAAAGCCATTGATTGTACACTTTTAAATTGGTGAATTGTAGCTATGTAATGTAAACTATATTTCAATAAAGGATTCAACAGTAAAAATAAATGAAGCACAGAAGTTATGAAGACCACAAAGCAGAATTATAAGAATTTGAGGAAGAGATAACCAGACCACAGGACAATGTGAAATGGGCACCAGGAGAACAGAAAAGAAAAGGAAGAAAAAGATTAAACCATTCAGAAACAGTTAATTGGGCGTGTGGGACAGCAGGCGCCATGGCAAAAGATAAAAAGATAAGATGCGAAATGTTGTGATGTTTATTTTACTATGATTTTTATAGTGTAAAACAAAGCCAAACATGAGAAAAGTGAATAAAAGCAAGCATGGATATCTCTAAAAAGTAAATACGAAAACAGTAATATAGAAGACCATCAAGAGATCCAAAATACAAATGCAAACTTGGAGCCCTCAAAGAAGAAAATCAAAACCAGATATCTTAAGGTATAACTCAAGATGTTTCCTTTAAAAAAAACTTTCTTTTTAAGTCTATCTGTTGTAAAGATGCACCATGTTCCAAGGAAAACTGGCCCAGCACTGAGACATATTCAGTAAAAGAAATTGGGGACTGACAAAAGATCTTAAGGAAAAGAAAATCAGCTTGATGGCAGAACAGAAACAATGCGCCAGACAGTAGGCTCAGGGTTTGAACTCACAATCCTGAGATCAAGAAGAGCTGAGATCAGTAGTCGGACATTTAACCAGCTGAGCCACCCAGACACCCCGATTTTTTTTTCAGAGAAGTAATCTTGATTTTTCTTGCTCTGTATTCCTTTAGTATTCCTTCCTTATTTCCTTTGAATTTACAGTTTCTCTGTTTTCTAAATTCTCAATATGACGCTAATTTATGATTGATTTTCCAGTGTTTTTCTTTAATATTTACATTTGAATTTAATGGTTTTTGCTCTTCTTCAGCTCTGCCTATGAGTGGGCATCATGGCCACCACCCTCAGGCCTCTGGTGAAGCCCAAGATCATTAAAAAGAGGACCAAGAAGTTTATCTAGCACCAGTCAGGCCAATATGTCAAAATTAAGCACAACTGGTGGAAACCCAGAGGCATTGACAGTAGAGTGCACAGAAGATTCAGGGGCAGATCTTTTTTTTTTTTTTAATTATTTATTATTTATGATAGTCACACAGAGAGAAAGAGAGAGAGAGAGAGGCAGAGACATAGGCAGAGAGAGAAGCAGGCTCCATGCACCGGGAGCCCGACGTGGGATTCGATCTCGGGTCTCCAGGATCACGCCCTGGGCCAAAGGCAGGCGCTAAACCGCTGCGCCACCCAGGGATCCCCAGGGGCAGATGTTGATGCCCAACATTGGTTAGAGGAGCAACAAGAGAACAACACGTATTACCCAGTGGCTTCCGGAAGTTCCTAGTCCACAGCGTCAAGGAGCTTGAAGTGCTGCTGATGCGCAACAAATCTTATTCTGCAGAGATTGTTCATGGTGTCTACTCCAGGAACCACAAAGCCACTTTGGAAAGAGCAGCCCAGCTGGCCATCAGAGTCACCAATCCCAAAGCCGGGCTGTGCAGGGAAGAAAATGAAGAGACAGCTTATTTGCACATCATATTTGTATTAATAAAACCATAAAACTACCAAAAAATAAATTTAATGGTTTTCTTATAGGTATTTTTTTTCTTATAAACATTTTATATGTGTCTGTGTAGACGCATTCACTGTCATTCAGTTCAACCATTTTAAATTTCATTATAATTTAACTTTGAGTGATTTATAAGTAGGGGTTTGGATTTTTTTTTTTTTTTAACACAGGACTCTTGAGAGTACTTTTTTTATGATCACATTGTAATTTTACTAGATCTTGGTCAAACATTGTATTCTATACTCTATCAATATTTAGTGCCAAACACATTTTAAGTACATTTGGGTCAGTGAATTTAGGTAAATGTGTGCACCCTGTAATGAACACACCAATAAAAATAGAGGTTATGTCTGTCACCCCAGAAAGTTCCTTTGTACCTACCTCACTTGCAGGCAGTTTGCTTATTCCTACCCTGGCAACTGCTGGTAGGATTTTTATCAGTATAGATTGGTTTTGCCAATCCTAAAACTCTGTGTGTGTGTGTGTGTGTGTGTGTGTGTGTAATCTTACAGTGTGTACTTTTTATGTCTGATTTCTCTCCAGTTAATGTTTTGAGATGCATGCAAGCATCAGTAGTTTTTTTTTTATTGCTGAGTAGTAGTATATTGTATGAATAGATCATAGTTTATACATTCACCTATCATGAACACGTAGTTTCCAATTTTAGCTTACTGATAATAGTGCTGCCCTGAAGGTTCATAGTCACTTGAACTATAAAATAAGTGTATGTTTCACTTTAAAAGAAACTAACAAAACTATTTTCCCAGTTAGCTATATAGCTTTATATTCCTACCAGGAAGGTTTGAGAATTCCAGAGTTTTCTCATCCTTGCCAACACTTAATATTTTCTGTCTTTTTAATTTTAGCTGTTCTAGTAGGCAATTATTACCTCCCTGATAACTAATAACATTGACTATTTCACCATGTACTTACTTGCCATTAGTATGTCCTTTGTGTTATGTTTAAGGGTTCTTTGTATATTCTGGACACAAGTCCTTCATAGATATTTTTCTTAATGATGTCTTTTGAAGCTCAGAAGGTTTGAATTTTCATGAACTCTAGTATATCAGTTTTTATTTTGTGGTAACTGAGTTTTGTTCCATAAGAAATCTTTACCTGCCCCATGGTCAGGGTTTTTTTCCTGTGATCTTTTTCTAGAAACTATGGTTTGGCCTCTTAATGTTTGTGTCTGTAACTCATTTCTAGTTATGGTTTGAGGTAGGAGTTGAGGTTCATGATTTCTTTCTGTTTTGATTGTTATAGCACCATTTGTTGTAAAGCTGTTCTTTTCCTCTGAATTATATTGGCAGTGTTGCTGAAAATGAACTTTCATGCTCTTCCACTCATCTTTACATCAACACCACAGTCTCAACTACGATTGCTTTGTAGTAATTTTTTTTAAAGGTTTGATTGATTTATTCATGAGAGACAGAGAGAGGCAGAGACAGAAGCAGGCTCCCTGTGGGGAGCCTAATGCGGGACTCGATCCTAGGACCCTGGGATCACACACCCTGAGTCAAAGGCAGATGCTCAACTACTGAGCCACCCAGGTGCCCACCTTGTGGTAATTCTTGGGTGGTGAGTCCTTTAAGTTTGTTCTTTTCTTACAAACTGCTGTTCTCTATCTTTGGATGCAAGTTTTAGAGTCAGGTCATCAGCTTCTGCAAACTAGGAGTGTGGGGAACATTTATACATCAGTGTACTGTCCTATATCGTCATTTCCCAGCCATGTCATGAAGCTCTCTATAGTTATTGGAGAGCACAAGTCCAGACTGAAGCTGGATGGCATAGTGTTCGACAAAGGATGTTGCCAGAAACACTTGATGTCTCTGTTCAAAGGAGATTTTGAGTCTCTAGGATAATTTTAGCTTGAATAATGATTGGTAACTGAAAATTAGGCAGAGACAATTTGAAAATGAGTAAAATGAAACATCCTAGAAGAAATCTATCTATCTATCTATCTATCTATCTATCTATCTATATTTTTTTTTTGGAAGAAAGGATATTAACTACCCAGTGTGGTTAGTACATACAGTTTAGTGAAACATTGAATA